GGACTTGTCCAGATCAACCATGGTGGTTCCATTCAAGAAGCTGAGATGTGGTATGGTATGAAAATTCTCAATGGCAAGAATTCTGCAGAAGCTGTCAGAAACTACTTGGACTGCAAACTTGCACCCCATTGGGCTCATTATCAGAATCCGAGGGATTTAGCCTCAATCAGAGCAAAGGTAAATGCTGAACTAGAGAGGATTGACAGAGCAGGACCACAGGTAGATGAAGAAGATCTCTAACTCTCTATCTCTGACTCTGTAATGCTTTACTTTCCCTATCAGATTAATAAGATACCAACTCTGCCTCTCTTTTTGCTTGGCTTTTTCAAATATATGTTCTTATTTACTTTCTTGTGTATATTCTGTTATCGTATTTGTTTTTATTGCTATCTGATTGTATCACACTCTTACTATTCTCCTATGCTAAGTTGCCCACCAAGACTCTAATGAAAAGTTTTTAACTTTAAATTTTTTTATGGTGAAAGGCACTTCTCTGGAAATAGTTAAAGGGTTTTGGCATCATCAAAAAGGGGGAAATTGTAAGGAATAAATGTATTTAGATTTTGATGATGCTAGGTTTATTAGAATTTGAAAGTACCCCATTAGAAATTGTGTATTAGAATTTCTTTTGTAAGTTTTAGCTTAGTCTGTCTGCCAGAGTTCCATCTTGCCTCTACCAGAGTTGCTCCCAGAGTTGCTCACCAGAGAAGCCATCAGAAACTGGTTATCAGGAAGATACCAGACTTGGCAACAAAGACGGACTTCAGAGATTGGACTAGAGAACCTCTTTGGACTCTGCTAAATCCACCAGATTCCGGAAGCCTTTCCAACGGTCGTTAAACTAACGGGAAATCCCCTAACGGTTACGAACCTTTCAACGGAAGCATGGCACTGTACACGCATTAAATGCACATTTAATGTTGTACGTACGAAGAGATATTTAAAGCTGATGATTGACCATGCGAGTATCTTTACGCCCCCAAAATAGCAAGTCGAAGGTCCAACCGGTCAAGTCAACAGTACATGCATTTAATGAAGCTGTCTTCTACACTCCAACGGGAAGACTGCTCCCAGTATATAAGATACACTCTGAAGAACTGAGAAAATAACTTTGCCAAGATAGCTTTGCGTAAACAACCTTCTTGAGATTCAAACTTCATTCTCAGACAAGAAAAGGCTCCAGTTGGAAGATATACTTTCCTATCCTTTATCCAACTAGCAAAACTGCAAAGTTACTCAGTTCTTCAACACTTCGAAAGCTTCATATACCTATCCTTTGTGAAGAAGCAACGTTGGAGAAATCTGATTTTATATCAAACACTTCTTGAAAAAGAAGGGACGTCTCAAACTAGCTGGACTAAGTGAAGTGGGGATACTTCAAGAGACTCAGTGAAACGAGACCAGCCATCAGGAAGCAGGACTGCATCCCGGGTGGCAACTAGACTTGAAGAAGACGAGGAGTGCTTCTTAAGCTCTAGGGACTAAGGCGTTGTAAACTGTTGTTTTTGCAAGCTTAGTGGAACAGTGGACTAGAGGAACAAGTTGTTCCTTGAACCACTATAAAAACCCCGGTGTCATTTACTTTTAGCTTTTATTTCCTGCACTTAAGACTCTACTGACTAACTCTTAAGGTTGGACTCTGTGTCCAGCAGATCTTCCTTCAGAGTAATCAGAAAGACATTTTGCCTTAGTTTTCTTCTAGAGGCTACCCGGACAGAAACCTATCCGCTGCCTGGTCTAGTTCTGCCATCAGAACTTGACCATCTCTGTCACCAGATTTCGACCATCTCTGATAAGTCAGACTTGACTTAGAGAAAAGTTTAAATTCCTGAACAGTCTATTCACCCCCCCCTCTAGACTGTTCCCCATTACAAACGGGACCAACAGATCCTTATCCAGAAGGGCCACCCCTTCCTTACGCCGCTCATCACCCTGAGGGAACTTCTCAACATAAGCCCCAAATATGATTGGGAGTTGTTGCAGGGCGTACTCCTCTTTGATGGTGGTAAATTCATTGGAGGATATAAATGTATCCCGAACGGCGGACAGGTCTACATTTACTTCTGAAGGGCCGTCCGGGATGTGGGGAGTCATCTCTACAAATGTCACCCGAGCAGCTTCAACAGCCGCTACCTTAGCCTGGGAAGTTGCAAGCTAGGCAGAGAGGGTGCCGAGCTCGGTCTCGAGCCTTTGCTTTTCTTCAACAAAGGCCTTCCGTTTGGTGCTGAGCTCGAGCTGTTGTTTTTCTTTGGCAAAGGCCTTTCGCTCGGCCTCAAAAGCCTGAAGGATAGTGGCGGCTTCTTGTTCTGCCTTGGTCTGGGCCACGATCAGTTCTCGTTCCTTGGCCAGACGAGATTCCCGCAGCTGCAGGCTATATAGCCCCATCTGCAAGATTCCCGTCCGGGGTTAGAAGATAAGATTTGACGCAAATGTTGTGTGTGTGTGATGTAAAGATAGAAAATGAGGTACCTTCAGGGCTGTTAAGGCAACACACTCCTCTCCCCGATCGACGGGAAGGTTGGGAAGCCAAAATTGTTGAACTAAGCAGAGGTGGACTAGGCTTGGCTCGCAGAAGAACCAACCTTTTCCAAAATCTCATGTACGGGATCCTGCAGAGTGATCCGTTCGATTTGTCCTGCAAGGTTAGCAGCATTGACCTGACCAGCTTCCAGGGTCACTTTCGGAGCAGCCTGAAAATGCTCAGAGAGATAGTTCAATTGTTCAGGCCCGAACGGGTTGTCTATCATCATATCATGTGGCTCCTGATGATGAGGAACCTGTTGAATGGGTTGAGGCTCTTGAACGGGCAGAGAAGGCCCCTGAAAGGGCAGAGAAGGCTCCTGAACAGGCAGAGAAGGCTCGGAGCCTTGTGGAACACTGATTGAAGGCTTGGGTTGAGCATTCTTCTTGGCTTTCTTCCTCTTACCCACTCCACCAGCAGCGAGTACCCGACTGTCATCCATGGGAATATCTGGATTGGGGCCTGAAAAAATAACAAAGGAAAAGGTTAGTACCGAGCGGTCTTATCACGTGGGAAACAAAGAGGAATGGAACGTTTCTCGCACGAGAAGGACCGCCCGGCCCATGGCACTTAGTTTTCAGTCAAGTAGACCCAGTAATACGGGCAGTACCTATCCCGACCTTGACAAGCCGATCGGGAGTCAGGTACTTCATGATGTTGCTCTTTTTGTCCCGCTCCACCGCAAAGACATCTTTGCTAATTTTCTCGATAAGCTACGGTTCTGGAGTTTTGCGGGGAAAAGCATTCCATTTCTTCGGGATTAGACCGTCCGAGATGGAAACAAAGAAAAACCAATCCTTCCACCTCTTAATGGAAGTCAGATTATCAGTAAATAGTATGTGTCCCGTACGAGCATTGGCAGCCAAAACCCATGTGTTTGTTGAGGGGTCACTTTAAAAAACATGATGGAATAACTCCAGACGGGGCGTGACTTTGGCGTACACGCAGCGGCAGATGAAGCTGACCATCACTCGGTAGGAATTTGGCATGACTTGGGCCGGTACTACCTCATAGAAGTTAAAAAAGGATACAAAGAATGGGAGTAATGGAAACCTAAGTCCAACTTTCACCGAGTCTAAATGGACTATCAGCATCCCAGGAAGGTGGCGCATTGGGTGAAGCCCAACCCGAAGACGGAAGTCCACTGGGTCCGAGATTAGGGCTGGGATTTGGACCCTATTGTGAGAGGTTAGTTTCTGTCGCCTCTCTTTGATCAAATTTAGGTCGAGCTTGTAGCGAGGGACATCGTCTGGGGGGCGCCACCATAGAAGTGATCTCGTCGTCAGATTTTGTGTCGTCTGATTCATTGCCGGAATAAGAGGAGCCATCGGAAGAATCCTCCGCCGCCGCACTAGCAGCCGCCATCGCTTCATTGGCTGCATCAGCAAAAGGGACGGTTATGGCATTCACGACGGCAGCATCATGAACATCCTCTTGGGAGGCCAATTCCGAAACAGGGGAGCACGATCGAAAAGACATAATGACCAAAACCGAGTAGGAAAAAACAAGGAAGGGGCGGGAAGTACCTGAACACGCGAAAAGCTTGGAAGTCCTAGAGAGAAGGAAGAGCTAAAGCACGAAGGAAATAAGAATTGGAAACCCATAACCATGGAACTCAAGGCCTATTTATAGCCTGACAGGCGCCGATTCACAAACCAATCAGAGTAAGACACGTCTCTCGGAGCGGGGAAGGGGGCGCATGTCACCCAGAAGAAAATTGACCAGCAATCATGACGGTTATGGAAAACTGAAACGACAGCAGCAAATGGGCCGTAAAATCAGGACATCGAGAACCTGCAAGATCCTATACACGATTGCCGAACGTCATACAACCAAATTATTCTACTTCCTTATGCCCTCACTATCGCTCGGGATATCAGAAGTGGGGTTTAATATATCAACATATGTTTAAATCAAATTCTAACATATGTTTAAATGTGAGTCCCCCACGAGTCCCCTTTTATTACAATATTTCTATATTGTAATAAATACTTCTATTGTATGAATATGTGCATGTGTGGGGGTGGGGGGTCCAATGGAAACAATGTACATCGTGAGATCACACATTTAACGAGTTTAATGCACCAAACCCCCCTGCGATTTGGAAATTCGGCGCATTAACCTCCTGTGATTTAAAAAATGCATCAAAGTCCCTTGTGTTTTAAATAATCATGCACAGAACCCCTTATGTTTAAACCTTTTATGTTACAATATAGAAATATTAATTACGTAATATTACTGCGTTGAAACTAATAGATATTTTACATATTTTATTTTCAAGGTAGGTTATCTAGGCATTGTAATTATATGCTGACGTATTTATATTGATGTTAATTTTGGAGAATTGACCTATAAATATATTTTGATTTGTAGAAAAAATGTTGTGAAAATGGAGCAAAAATAACAAACTATATATTAGGTAGTGTAATTTTAATTACTTTGATAAACTTGACATTTACATAGTAATTCTTTTCCAATTTGAAAATTCAAATAAGATTCAAAAGCGAATACGAATATTCAGTAACTTATATGAATAATAATGGCAAGCATTCGGTTCAATTCCGTTTGTACCATTTCATTACAATGCCATATAAGAGATGTTTTTTATTGAGCTGCTAATAATCCTTTTGCTTCCGCTGTAACAAAAATGGAAGAATAGCAGAAATATTTTTTTACAGGAATCTTCACATAACCAACTTCACTACTCCAAATTCCAAAAATCCCAAGGTAGAGAGGTAAGCTAATGCCTACATCTCACCCTCTCTAGACCAAACTGGGGGTTGGTTTGGTTTTGAGTAATTAGCAACACTTATCTTTAAATGATCATACTTGCTCGACTATTCATCCACGCAAAACTGCATATCATCTAACTTCTCTACCATTTGTACACTACAACTACCACCTGTAAGGGAAGGTTGTACTTCGACCGGTTCCTTGTGAACAGGAGCACTCACAGTACAAACCAGTGCAGGATCATTACGGTTCAAAGAACCTTTTTCCGGTTCCTTGATAGGAATTTCATCATTAGGGGTTACATGGTCAATTTCATAGAAAGTTGGATCAACAGGTTTGGAAGGTGAGTCGTTTCCATACACTGACTTCTTCAACCAAATGGTTCCGGGAAACACCATAAGGTTGATGTTGCTCAAGCTTTGTTTCTCTTTATCTTCCAATGGTTTGAAACCGAAACCAAACGTCCATGTCTCCACTAAACTGGGAATGGCAGATATTACAAGCTTTTCAACCTTGAAGGATTTCAACATCTGGATCCACAAATCAATACCCCCCAAATCATTTTGAGATCAAAAGAAGTTAATGGTTGCAGATTGAAAATTAGATGCCATTAGGGAGCAGGTGGACGAGTCAAACAATAAAATATGTTTACGGTTTGAGTTTTAAAGTTTATGCTTAACTTAATAATTCTTCAATATAATAAACTTCCATATAAAATTAGTACAAACTATATATACCATCAACTCAACCTAATTTAAAAATAAAAGTAACGCATCCCACCTTTCACGTTAATAAGGGAAGAATTTTAAAGGGTACATGTCTTGATACATAGAATGTTGCTATAAACATAAATGATGATTGAAGTGTAATATGATCACCAAGTTTATTATTCCTTTAACTTTTATAGAATATCCATTATATATGAAGGGGGGAATTGGAGGTTGCGCCTCAAATTATTCATCCAAATTTGAGATGGCATCCCATTTTAGAAATCATCGATCTCTGCAACCCACCATTAATTCATACAAAGTATGTAGAATTTAAAAGTGGGTGCAAACTCCAAACCAAAGGACATAATGGGCGCAAACTACAATTCACAAAAATAGGGTGCAAATTACAATCTTCAGGGTTGCAATTTCAAATGACCTTAAAAGCTATTAACAAAATTTTCTTAATAGTGAGGTGCAAATATTAATTAACAATTTGTAAAAAAAGGTGCAAACACCCATTTGGATGTAAACGTCAGATGAAACTCCAAATTCCCTTATTTTAAGATATAGACTTATCCCACCCAATCCCCTCTCCTCTGAAAACCAACACCCAAAAAGACATCAAGGGTATGTTTGGGAGTTTGGGAGGAAGGGAAAGGGAAGGCTTTGAAGGTCAATTGTAAGGAGATGAAGGGGAGGGGAGAGGATGGTGACGAAATCATTTTTCTTGTTTGGGAGTTACAAATTTGGAAAGAAAGAGTCTTTAAAGGATTATAATTAAAATATATTCTGAAATTTGGCGAACTAAAATTGTTGAATTTATATTCATTTTAAATTGAACTGAAGTTTTAAATTGAGCATTTGAGCATTTGAGGGGTTTTGGAGGGTCATAGAAACCCTCAACCACTCCTCCCAATTTTTAAACTTCAAAACAAGAAAAGGAGGGTCATAGTGTCATACATCCTCCTCATCCTTCCCATCACCTCCAAAACTTAACTCTGAAATATATATTTATCATGGTAAATTTCGATGGATGGTTTTGGGGGATTACGTTATCATGGTAAAATGCATTCAAGATTTTTTATAAAAAGGAAGAATTAATATACATTATACGCTCTTAGAAACATTTTATGTATTCGTGAGATATACACTGAGTCCTCGCTTTCCTCTAAAACCTTCTATCAAAACTCACTCTAAGGGTATGTTTGGGAGTTTGAAGGGAAGGGGAGGAGAAGGTTTTGAAGGTTAGTCATTGGAAGGGAAGGGGAGGGAAAGGGTTGGAAATCCTTCTTGTTTGGGAGTAACAAGTTTGAAAAGGTAAAGGTTTTGGATGAATTATAATTAAAATCATTTCACATACATGACGAATTCAAATAATTGAGTTTATATTTATTTAAAATTGAGCTAAAGTTGTCATTTAATTAGTTATCCTTCAAAATCCCCCAATTTGAGGGAACTTTAAAATTGAGCATTTGAAGGGTTTTGGAGGGTTACAAAAGCGCTCCAAAACCATCCCTCCATATTTTTTAACTCCCAAACATGAAAGGGAGGGTCATAAACCCTTGTCAACCATCCCCTCCCCTCCAAAACCCAACTCCCAAACATGCTGTAAAGAAAACAGGTAGTAACTAGTGACTGCATAAACACCAAACCCGGATCGAGCTTTAAAAAATGACATTTTCCCAGGAAAGGGAAAACAACAATACCTCCTCTAGAGAATTCATTAAGCGCCGGCACATCCCCTGGCGGCGATATTTGCTGCAAGTTGCAATTAGAGGCATCTCTGCAACTGTTGTTCCATGGATCCTACATCATCATCAGTGTAATCAGTATGAATAAGAGGTAACTGTTAACTCTAAGTAAATTTCAGCACGTAGATCTAAATAAAGTGTTTCCAGCCAATCCAATGAAGCTTACGACTTTTGCTTACATCTGACATCTTCTGCGTTGCAAATACAGAAATTTGGGGACATGAGTTGAAGAATTGCAGGTCTAAAATTCTACCATCCCAAAAATAGTATGATTATTTTTCCAGAGCACCAAGGTATTGAGCCTTGGTGTCAGATCCTAGGCTGGTTAGATTAGCTTGTGGTGTCAGATTAAAAAATAAAAAGAGGCAATCAATGGAGTTCTAGTGTGTAGACAGAGTAGTGCACTAAAAATCATTAAGGTCTATGCAAAAGCTGAAATTTTTAAATCAACCACACAATGGAACCACAGTACCAAATAGTGGGTTAAGAGTTAAGAGAGCCCACGATGAATTTGGTGTCCATTGTACCCACTCTCTCCAACCTTTCACTATTTTTTACTACAATAAGACACCATTCTGAATCTCTGGTTCAATACAAGGACTTCCTTATGAGGGGCCCAACGTCAATTACCCTCTCCGGTTCTCAAATAAGTTCCTAATTTGACTTTACGGTTTTTAAGAAAGGAAACTTATTAGGGTTGATGTTTCTATTATACCCTTGGAAAAAGTATAGGTACAGGTATATGGGGTAAAAATGGGTGTAAAAATGGGGTGTAGGGTAAATAAAGTAAGGTATACTTGTCATTTCATAATTAAAAGTTGCCAAAAAAGAAACATGAACTTTAATGTGGGACATTTGAAAAAGGAAAGTGGAAAGTTAATCACAGCACCCCACATTTTATTTACTTACCAGGATAAAACACATCTTTTTAAAAATTATTACATTTCAATTTATGAACAATGACACACACATGTATATGTGTATGTTCTCACTTCTCCATGTATACACACACAAATATATAAAATAAAATGCATTCCAAACATATTTAATTTAAAAGAGAAGTGTGTGAAAACCCTGAACTGCACAAAGTAATTATATATTTCCAAATAAAATTAATTTTTATTAGGTCATTGCATAGCATCTGCAAAACTACAAAAGAAAGAATTTGTATGACGAGTGGGCCCGTTGGTGGCTCCTCTCACATTTTAAGAAGGGGTGTGTGTCAGACTTAGGGTGCTCTGTAAGCACAAACATCCTTGTTGGGCACCCTAGGATACCGCAGGTGCCCTCCAACACTACGGGTAGCCCTACAAAACGCATTGCGGTTCTCTAAAGACATGTCTCTACTACATGTGCTTTAAAAAAAGTTACGCGTTCCTTTTCTGAAAAGTGGAAATCGTGACAAACAACTCAAAGATATATCGGAAAAATCTACCATTGGTTACCTGATTGAAGCGACTGATATCAGCACATCATCTTTCTCTAAAACCATAGTGTAAAACCCATAGTAATTTAGACGAGAAAATTGCGAGCTGCAGAAAAATAAGCATGTTAAAATTAAAAATCAGAAATGCTTTAATAAACATAACCAATCCCCTATATTTTTACGTGTACAAGATAAATAAATATATTGCCATGTTATATATGATGTACATGTTGATTTTACAATATCAAATTTGCATAGAGAATGACTATATAATATTCTCAATCCATCATCACTCATTATATTTTCAATGCAAGTAGAAAAATCTATGGTGTGACCATTTGCAATTTCATGTCATTACCCCTTCTTTAGAATTTTGCAATGGGAAGGACAATATGCGATAAACTTGTCAAATAAAATAGGGAAAATAACTTTAAATAATACAAACTATCTTCCATGAACCAAGAATAATATGTACTTTAGAACTAAGTTTCAATAATACCAACTATTTAAATATAGACCAAAACTGATATAGAGCAATTTTTTACTAAAAAGTCAGCTATTTAACTCATCAAAAACTTGTATCAAAATATCTAATAAGTGAATGTATTTCCAAATATCATTTATTTGATGGGTTGCCATTAGTTTGTGTGTCTTAAACGACCAGATTTCTTGTAAAAAAAGTGACTCCATATTATTTTTGTTTTCCATTCAAATAGTTGGTATTATTAAAAATCATTTTCAAAGTATGTATTATTATTGGTTTATAGATGATAGTTGGTATTATTTAAAGTTATTATTCCAATAGCTTGACCATATACAACAAGGTTGTCATGGACTCATGGCTACTAGGTGAGGTGTGGCTCCAGTGGACCACTTTATCACCTAGGCGCCTGCCTATGTGATAGCCAAACAGCAAGGCACACCATAGTAATATTTAGATATACTGTCAAAAATACTCTTTCTGTCCCACAATTAAGTTCTTAGTTTGACTTCAAGGCTTTTAGGCAAAATAATTTTTTATTCTTTCCAAGTATGACCTTCCCCAAAAGCATGAGAGAAAATTAATATACTTTTATAGGGGTACACAAGTACTTCACACTCAAATATTACCAAAAAAGAAGTAAGAACTTGATTTTAGAACATCCCAAACATGAAAGTGGAAACTTAATTGCGGAACAAAGGGAGTACTATTTTAGAAATTAAATTGCATCAATTACTTATAATTCAAACCAAGAACTTAACTTAATAATTACAACAAGTGTTCAATAACTCGAAACAAAGTTTGAAGAAGCTAAAATAAAAATAAAAAACTTTCCCTGTTTTTTATCTCTTTTCTGAAGGAGTCAAGGAGCTAAGCAAGTTTCAAGTTGAATGAGCAAGCACAAAATATAGTTGATATTCAACAAAATATACTCACCCCCAATTGTAGATTACTTGGGAAATCATGTCTATGCCTGTCCTAGGATCCACCATTGGAAGAAAGCATTCCTCCATGATTGTAAGAGCAACAGCTAACTTGGAGTTGCAATCTGCCCTCAAGGCAACAAATCGCTGTGCAGAACGAACTCTCTGATCACTGGGAATACACCTCAGAAGTGTCCAATAGAGGCCGCCACAGAGAAGATTTGCAACACCAATGCAAGACTGAAGACCAGAGTAAACCTGAAGGACACCATATGTTATTTTGAAAGACAGCATGATTGACCATCATCATGTTGGTATAGTTCAATAATTCAGTGAAATATCACAAGACAGAATTGATCATAGCAAATGAAGTATAATCATCATCATTACCTACTTCAAGCTAGCTGGGGTCGATGGCTGTTGATAAACTGAACGAGAGAGAGAAAGAATGGAGAAATGACAATCTGTTTCATTGATGTAACTGATCCTATTACAATGTATTTATAAGAGTACAGAAGCTTCTATCTAACTAACTAACAGATCACAGCTCAACAATATTAGTTAGGTCAAACAGTTACAACTCAATGTATTCCTAATATTCCCCCCTCAAACTTATTGTGATTTAGTTGGAAATTTAATCACATTGAGTCTGGTCTTCAACTCAAGGAATCTGGAGGTGGACAGGTTTGGTTAGCACATCAGCAACTTGATAGGGAGCAGGAATATGTTGAACTTGAAGCTTCTTATGAAAAATCTTTTCTCTGACAAAATAGAGGTCAAGTTCCATATGTTTAATCCTGGAATGAAAGACTGGATTATGTGCTAGATGAATTGTACTAAGATTGTCACAGAAATCTGAGGAATAGAAAATGGAACTTTTATTTCCTGAAGAAGATACTGAATCCATAGGATCTCTGCTGCAGTGTCAGCTAGGCTTCTGTATTCTGCTTCAGCTGAAGACCTAGCAACACAAAGTTGTTTTCTAGACCATCAAGAGATTAGATTAGGTCCTAGAAATATGCATGAGCCAGAGGTTGATCTTCTATCATTGGGATCTGAAGCCCAATCAGCATCATAAAAGGCTAGTAGCTGAGTAGGTGATCTTGTATGAGAAGACCATGTTTAGATGAACCAGAAAGATACCTTAGTATCCTTTTCACTTCTTTTCAGTGTTCTTCTAAAGGATTTGCCATGAACGGACACACTTTATTCACTGCAAAACTGATTTCTGGTCTTGTTAGAGTAACATACTGTAGAGCACCTACCACAAATCTGTATTGAGTAGGATCAGTTAAGTAGTTACACCCTTCTTTGAGAAGTTTGCAGCTACTCAGCATGGGTGTTGTGATTCCTTTGGAGTCCTACATACCTGCTTTTTCCAGTAGATCTCTAACATACTTGGTTTGAGATAAATGTAAGCTAAAGCTGCCATCTGGAAGCTTTTGAGTTTCAATTCCAGAAAGTAGTCAAGATCCCCCAAGTGTTTGAGTGAGAAGTTGGAGTCCAATTTATGAATAAGATGTTGAATAACATCACTGTTGTTTCCAATAACTAGGATATCATCAACATAGATCAGTACATTAACCTGAACTGTACTGGAAAGATAGACAAGTAATGAAGGATCACATTTGGACTGTTTAAAGCCAAGAGAGTACAAAGCTGTAGTGAGCTTAAGAAACTGTAAGTTTTAGGAATAAAACTTCCTTGATTATGATGAGCCATACGGCCAGAATATATATACAGAGTACACACAACAAACTCCCTGTGCAGATCCTAAAAAATAGGATCTATCTAACTGCAGTACTTATCTGCTAATAAATGCAGTCTAACAACTCTATTTTATCTACACAACTACATACGTACACAATCTAATAATAAATAATAAATGTAACATTTTCTACACTCCCCCTCAAGTTGGTGAGTATATATCATACATCCCCAACTTGCTTATAAGTAGCTCAAACACTGGTCTGAACAATCCTTTTGTGAAGATATCAGTTGTTTGTTCTTTAGTAGGTATGAATGGTATGCACACAATTCCAGCTTCAATCTTTTCTTTGATAAAGTGTCTGTCCACTTCAATGTGTTTAGTACGACCATGTAGCACAGGATTATGAGCAATACTAATAGCTACCTTGTTATCACAATACAACTTCATAGGTAGATCCATCTTCAATTTTAATTCTGAAATTACTCTTTTGATCCAAAGCAGTTCACAAATTCCATTTGCCATAGACCTGTATTTAGATTCAGCACTGCTTCTAGCAACTACATTCTGTTTTTTACTTCTCCAAGTCACCAGATTTCCCCATACATAGGTACAATACCCAGAAGTAGATCTTCTATCAGTGATTGAGCCAGCATAGTCTGCATCTGTAAATGCCTCAACAATTCTACTGTAGTTCTTTTTAAAGAATAATCCTTTCCCTGGACAACTTTTCAGATACCTTAGAATCCTGTCAGTAGCATCAAGGTGTTCCTGGACTGGATTATGCATAAACTGGCTAACCAAACTAACTGCAAATGCAATATCTGGCCTTGCATGTGCCAAATATATCTATCTTCCCACTAATCTTTGATATTGTTGGGTATTGACTGGAACTCCATCTTTGACATCTCCCAACTTCTGATTGGGGTCAATTGGAGTATCTGCTGGTCTACATGCACTCATGCCTATTTCTTGGAGAAGATCTAGAATATACTTCCTCTGTGATACAACAATTCCCTTCTTTGATCTAGCTATCTCCATTCCAAGAAATTATTTCAATTCTCCCAGATCTTTGACCTCAAATTCATGAGCCAATTGCTTCTTTAGACTTTTAGTCTCTTTGTGATAATCTCCTGTAAGAATAATATCATCCACATAAACAATTAATATTGCAATCTCCCCCTTACTTGAAAATTTCACAAAAAAAAGTGTATGATCAGCCTGAGCTTGCTTGAATCCCTCTCTTTATGAACTGAGTAAACCTGTCAAACCAAGCCTTTGGGGACTGTTTAAGTCCATACAAGGATTTCTCCAGTTTACACACCTTTGAGCCAAATTTACTCTCAAACCACGGAGGTGGACTCATATACACTTCCTCTTCAAGCTTCCCATTTAAGAAGGCATTCATCACATCTAACTGTTGAAGTGGCCAATCTAGGTTAGCAGCTAAAGATAAGAGAATTCTTATAGTATTTAACTTTGCTACCGGAGCAAAGATCTCAATATAGTCTATGCCATAGGTTTGTGTATATCCCTTGGCCACCAATCTAGCCTTGTATCGTTCAAGGGTTCCATCTGCCTTGAATTTAGGAGTAAAAATCCATCTACATCCCACAGTTGGTTTATTCTTGGGTAACTCTACAATCTGCCATGTTTGATTCCTTTCAAGAGCATTCATCTCTTCCAAAACAGCTTTCTTCCACTCAGGTTTAGATAGAGCTTCTTGTATGGTTAAGGGAATAGTAATAGAGGAAAGACTAGAGGTAAAGGCTGCAAATGACAAGGACAACTGGGAATAAGACACATAGTTTGAAATAGGATATCTGACACATGACCTTTTCTCTTTTCTGAGAGCAATTGGTAAGTCAAGATCACCGGAAGTATTACCTTTTTCATTTTCTGTCATTGAGTCAGATTCGTGAGCAGTTGCAGGATCAGAGATGTCCTCTATTCTTTGATTTGGAACTCTCCTTTCATAAACTTTGCCAAAAAAATTACCTATCTACTGCTCATCTTCTTTCCTTGTTTCAATTATATTTATTTCTTTTTCTTCTATTCCTTGGCTATTATCTGATGCATCTAAGTTTTTAGTATGATGTGCATCAAGATTAATGTCAAGAAAATTAAGATTTTCATAGATATGTAATACACTGTTACCATCTTCAATTGAATTCTCCCCCTGAAGATGAGTATTAAAAAAGGGTTTATTTTCAACAAAAACAGTGTCCATTGTTACAAACATCTTTTTTGTTGTAGGATCAAAACATTTATATCCTTTCTGTGTTGAAGACAGTCCTAAAAAGGCACATTTTCTTCCTCTAGGATCAAATTTACTAGCTGTTTTGTCAGGGTTGTGAATAAACATTGTGCAACCAAAAATCTTTAAAGGAAGAGAGCTGATAATTCTGGTTTTAGGAAAGCAGGTTTGAAGTGTATCAATAGGTGTTTTAAATCCTAGAGTTTTTTATGGCATCCTATTAATCAAATAGGTGGCATGTAAAATAGCATCTCCCCATAAATATTTTGGAACTTTAGTGGAAAACATGATTGCACGAGTGACTTCAAGTAATGTCTATTTTTCCTCTCAGCTATTCCATTTTGAGCAGGTGTATTTATACAAGAACTTTGGTGAATAATCCCCTTTTCAGCAAAAAAATTGTTTAAGTTTTGAGAAAAATACTCACAGACATTATCACTTCTTACCATTTTGATATTGGTATTGAATTGAGTTTGAACCATTGAGTAAAATTTTCTGAAAACATTTTCAACTTCAGATTTCTCTTTAATCAAAAAAACCCATGTTACCCGGGTATGATCATCTATAATAGTTACAAACCATCTTTGTCCTTTCAAGGTAGAAACTCTAGATGCACCCCAAATATCACTATGCACAAGAGTAAAAGGGCTAGTAGGTTTGTAACTATGAGGGATATAAGAATTCTTATGATGTTTTGCCGGTGCACACATATCACAATGAAATGATGAAGGGTCTTTATTATGAAACAACTGAGGAAACAACCTTTTTAAATAGTAAAAACTAGGATGACCTAGTCTATAGTGCATTAAATACACTTCATTATTACAAGAAAAAGAAATAGTTTGCAGACAAGTATTCCCTTGACCTTGTTTATTCAATTTAGTTCCTTCATCAAAGACATAGAGACCGTCTTCCTCTCTAGCACTGCCATTCATCTTCCCCGATGTCAGATCCTGAAAAATGCAATAAGAAGGATAAAATTTGACACAACACTGAAGCTCTTTGGTTAATTTGCTAACATAGGCAAGATTACAAGAAAGATATGGAACATGAAGGACTTTAGAGAGGTTAATGTATGAGGAAATTTTAACATTTCCCATCCCTGCAATGGATGAAAAAGAACCATCTGCAACTTTAACTTTTTTATCTCCTGCACACGGGTTATATGAGGAGTAGAATTTTGGAATAGAGGTCATGTGGTCTGTTGCACCTGAGTCAATGACCCAGGTGTTTTTTGATTTTTCAGAACAAAAATATGATGTAATTTTACCATTTTGGGCAAAAGAACAAGAAGGGGTTTCCTGGTTAAGAATCTTTTGGGTATTTAGAAATTGTAGGAGTTGCTCTATCTGTTCCTTTGTGAAAGTGGGCTGATTGAAGTTGATTTGTTGCTCCTGTTCAGTTTCAGGCATGGTAGTATGTAAAGCTTTCTCAAATTTCTTCTTTCCCGCTCCTGGTGGTTTTACATGGATCTTCCAGCAAGTTTCCCTTGTATGCCACAGTTTCTTGCAGTGATCACACCATGATTTCTTTCTTTCATGTCCCTTGACCACCAATGTTGAGGACTCTCCAGTATCATAATCCTTTTCCTGCTTTCTTCAATCCTGATTTCAGAGAATACCTCTCTGATTGAAGGCAAAGGTTTCTTTCCCAGAATCCTTCCTTTAACTTCATCAAAGCTTTGAGTAACTCCTGCTAGGAACATATAAACCCTGTCATTTTCTTCCCTTTTTTTGTGCTTGGACAGATCTTTTGCACTTTCCCATTCATCATCATAGTATTGATCTAACTCCTGCCATAGAGACACCATTTCATTGAAGTAGGTGGTGACATCTCTATCTCCTTGTTTGGACTGCCAGAGAATGGTTTTTAATTCAAAATTTTGAGAAGAATTTTCAAGGTCTGAGTAAGTTTCTTTTATGGAATCCCAGACCTCTTTTGCTGTCTTCATAAACATATGAGGTTTTGCAATTGAGGCTTCCATGGAACTGAGAAGCCAGACTGTTACAAGTGAATTTTCTGACCTCCATGTATTGTAGCCTTCCTCACCAGGAAGTTTTGGTTTGATTTCTCCCGTGAGGTAGCCCAATTTTCCCCTCCCATCAATTGCGAGCTTGACAGATTGAGACCATTCCAAATAGTTTTTTCCATTCAATCTATGGCTAGTGATTAACATAGATGAATGGATAGGAGACTGGTAATTTGTCATAGGGCTTATTTGGGAGGTAGGGTTGCTAGTGTGTGAATGTGTGATGAATCAGAATCAATGGTTTCTACCATCGTTTTGTTTAAACCAAGGCTCTGATACCATGTAAGTTTTAGGAATAAAACTTCCTTGATTATGATGAGCCATACGGCCAGAATATATATACAGAGTACACACAACAAACTCCCTGTGCAGATCCTTAAAAAATAGGATCTATCTAACTGCAGTACTTATCTGCTAATAAATGCAGTCTAACAACTCTATTTTTCTACACAACTACATACGTACACAATCTAATAATAAATATAACATTTCCTACGGAAACTAAGCTCTGGGAGCCTGTTTTAAGCCATATATGGCTTTATTGAGTTTACAAACCATAGATTTGTCAGCAGTTTGAAACCCTAGAGGTTGCACCAAATACACCTCTTCTTCTAGATCACCATTTAAGAAGGCGTTATGAACATCAAGTTGCTGAATAGGCCATGAATTAGAGACAGCAACAGACAGTAGAACTCTTATAGTAACAGGCTTAACTACTGGAGAGAAAGTTTCACTAAAATCAAAGCCATATTGTTGATGAAAACTTTTTGCAACTAATCTAGCTTTGAATTTATTAATAGAACCATCGGGATTTTCTTTCAGTCTAAACACCCACTTGCATCCAATAACCTGTTTATCAGGTGGCAGAGAAGTAAGAGACCATGTGTTATTGGACATCAATGCATCATATTCTGATTGCATAGCTTTATACCAGTCAGGTGAGGTTAAGGCTTGTTTAACTGATGTTGGCTCGGTATGAGCTAAGAGCAAGGTTGGATTAAGTCTAGATTTTACTATTCCAGATTTAGCTCTAGTGTTCATAGGATGAATGTTAGTGGAAGGAACAAGAGAGACAGATTGAGTATTGATGATAGGTCAAACAGAATTTATAGACTCGGAATTCGAAGAATGTGAATTATACAATTAGAAGAAGTAGGAGTAGAAGATTGTGAAGAATGTGAGGAGGTTTGATGTTCATCATTATGTAGAGAAGACGAAGAGACAGATGAATCAGAAACTGTATTTGATGAAGAAATAAGGCTCTGTAGAACATTTAAAGGTGTATTAGAAGTTGGATTGGAGGTGACACTATCACAAAAAGATAGGGATAAGGAAATTTTGACTCATTAAAGATGGAAATTGCCCTAAATAGGAGTAAATGAGGTTTGGAATTCCATAATAGGACTACTATGTTTTCCTTCCCGAAATAAGAGTTGTTACTGCCATGATTGAAAAATACTATCATTAATTATAATAAATACAATCATGTTAAATGCACTGTACTGCAACTATTTGGCAGTCACGCATACAAGATGGCAGTAAATATTATCATGTTAGTCCTATTTCGGAAAAAAAAACATAGTAGTCCTATCTTGGAATTCCAAACTCCATTTACTCCTATTTTGTGAAATCTCCCTTAAAGATAACATCCTTAGATATGTAGATTATGTCATTAGGTGCTAAACACTTGTAACCTTTATGTTAAGGTGAATAACCCAGAAAAACACATTCTTCAGAGTGAAAATCAAACTTGTGTTTGTTATATGGTCTGAGAAAGGGGTAACAAGAGCACCCAATTTTTTTTTAAAGTTATAATCTAGAATTGAATTGTAGAGTTTAGTATAAGGGACTTTATTTGAAATGAATTGTAGAGTTTAGTATAAGGGACTTGATTTGAAATGGAAGCTGAGGGTGTTATGTTAATGAGATGAACAGAAATAGCAAATGCAGCATCCCAAAATTTGAAGGGAAGAGATGAATGGTGTGTATGAGGGCAGATTAGTCTATGTGTAATGCCTTTTTCAATTAGGAATTGAGTAAAGGATCTAAATTCACCACCCTAATCAGATTGGATGGATTTTATAGAACACATGAATTGAGTATTGACATAAGAATGAAAGTTTTTGAAGGCTATAAGAGCATCAGATTTGTGTTTGAGAGAGTAGATCCAAGTATATCTAGGGCCTGTTTGGATGAAGTGTTAGTAATGGAAGTGTTAGTAAGTGTTAGTAGGGGCCCGGAAGGGAAGGGAAGTGTAACTGTGTAAGTGTTAGACATAATTTTACCTTGTTTGGGAGAGTCAAATGAATGAAGTGTTAATAATGGAAGTGTTTTAACTTAAATTGACAAAAATATCCTTTACCTTGTAAATTATTAAGTATCCATAATTACATCCTCCACTACATGAAAAATCGAATTTCTTTTTTTCTCTCTTGTTGATCGGCAATGTATAGTAAACTAACCCTCAACTTTTTTAAATTTATTTTTCATGTATAGAATCTAGGGATAAGGCTCAAATTGGACACTATGGTTTCATGAGAATCTCATATTGGACACTAAGGTTTTAAATAGACCAAATTGGATACTATGGTTACATATGCATCTCATATTGGACACTGAAATTTCATAATTCGTTGTTTTTGGACACTCACTTATGATTCTCTTCTTCCCTTAATAAAAATCGTTTGTCTTACATTTCCTTTCCTTTTTTGTGAAAGTAAACCAATTTAATTATGTATATAATTTTGGAATATTTAATTTGAAGTTTTAGAATATATAATTTTATTTTAATTAATAACTTCTTTTTTTAACAATTTAAAAATATATTTAGGACTTTTCATTCATATGATTTTTATGGAACTTTAAGAAATATCGATTTGTTAAATTGATTTAAAAATGTTAAAGAATTCAATTACATTATAATAGATTTTCTTAATTGGAGCATCTAATTATATATTCTAAATCTAAATACAAAAATTAAGTTATATTTATTTTTTAGGTACATAAAACCAAGAGAAAAAGGAATACTTATATCTTTCAAGGTGAAAATCTTTGATGGGTGTCCGAAAATGATCAGAAAAACGTAAAATTTGATCAATTTGAAACTTTAATGTCCGATGAGACACACGAGTAACCATAGTGTCCAATTTGGTCCATTTGAAACTTTAGTATCCAATATGAGATTCTCAAACAACCATAGTGTCCAATTTGACCCTTATCCCTAGAATCTATACAGTCTACTTCCCCATCCCTATTTCTTGAACAAGAAAAGCATCTTTACAGTAACAGTAGACATATGTATACATACATGTATACAATAACGACAAATTATTGTAGAAGCTACTAGCCACTCGATCGGCAGCACCTACTCTTCTAATTGCCGCTGCCAAGGAATTCAGGAACGGTTGTTGAGAATCTCAAGATGATATATATGTATACACACCAATTTATCATATACAGTCTGCCTATATTTTTATGAAAGCTAACAGGGTGAGACGAAGACAGAGAGGAGAGGGTAGGAGAGGTTGTGAGGCAGAAGAAAAGAGTAAGGAGAAGAGATGAAAAAGGCAGACCATCATACCTGCGGCAAAGAGATTCGAAGTGAGATGTCGAAACATTTTAAGTTTTTAGGGTAAATGAGAAGGGTAATAATTGTCCAACACCTCAAAACACTCCAAATCGGGGTGTTAAAAAAGTGCATAATTGAGGTATTGGGAAGGTTATTATTAACACTTCCTAACCTTTACTAACACTTCTTAACAGCTCTTAATTTTTCACCCAATCAAGTGTTAGTATCAACAAGAGGCCATTACTAGCACTTCCATTACTAACACTCCTCAACACTCAATCCAAACAGGCCGTTGGTGTAAGCATCAATAAGAGCAATATAGTAAGAATAGCCATCAAAGGAAGTAATGGGAGCTA